TCACCGCTCGAAACTCTGTTTTTTCCATTTTTCAAATAAACCAATAACTTTTCGTTCAACCAACGCTCACAAAAGAATGACTTAATGAAACGAGCTGAAACTTTGTACGATATCTAGTTAGTAGTATTGCTTGCAAGAAACATCATAATTTAAGCGTCAGAAGCGCCATCTCTTGGATTGTGTAAAGACTTATTGACCTCTCCCCCCGTATCACATGAATATCACAAGTATATATGGGAGTTTCTTAAGTCAATAATTCTAAAATTTGCAACAAGTAACAAACAGACAGACTTATAAATAAACAGAATAGATTTTCACTAGCATTATATAATTAAAATTCCAGAGGAAAAACATTAATATTTGTCACTATAGACTAAGTTGCATATTTCTTAAAACTAATAATGCAGCTAAAAGTTCATTTACAAGTAGTTTACGCGATTAAACACTCAATTGTATAATAAATAGAAACAACACAAATAAATAAATAAATGCTCCAGTGGCACTCCCATCTCCTACGTGCTTAAAGACGCAAAGTGCTCACGCGCTCTTCTCTTAAAGCTGCCAAGCGACGGCTCATGACCTAGATCCAAAGAAAGGGTGTTTCAAAGACGGACATCCATCACCTGAAAAGACCTGCGCGCCGTCTCCGTTCTAGCTTTTAGTTCGGCTTTTAGTTCGGTCTGCCCCACCCTACCCGGATATCTTAACTTATGCTCAGTGAAGAGCTCAGCGAGGTAGCCAGGCTCCCGCATACACAGGCACTTGTATATGAGCAGGGAAACAAAATATTCCCTGATCACGTCCGCGCTAAGCCAGCCCAATCTCCGTCTACATGGAGAGATCAAGGCATAGCGCGGGATACCAAAGATGTATCTGACGCATGCATTGCTCAGTCTCTGCAACCGTTCCCTCTACTCCATCAAGGCCCTCAGACACACCACTGTGCAGTAGTCCAGGTGAGGCTGGACCATCAATTCCATTAGTTTACGCCGGAGTAGCTCTGTAGTACAACGGTCTAATAAAGCGCGAACCGTTACCTGATTTTCGCCGCAACCCGGTCAACGTGCGATCTCCACGACAGCTTACTATCGAGCATGACTCCAAGACTAGTTACCTCCTCACTGAAGGGAACAAATACATCCTCCTGCATCTCAATCTTGGGCAAATCTTCCACGTATGTCATTTATATCTTTATTGGTAGCGAATATTATTGCCTTAGTCTTGCCGGCGTTCAGGCTCAGATACGAGTCACGGGCCCAGCTTGTTACCAATCTAGCCGCCTCCGTTAGTATTCGAATACCCTCTGTCAATTTGCCTTTAGGTATATGCAGATAAATCTGCAAGTCATCTGCATAGAAGAGGTGTGAGACCTTATATCCTCGGAGTACATCTTTCAGGTCATTGACATATAGACAAAACAAGAGCGGTCCTAGCACCGTGCCGTGTTGGACTCCCAGATTCGTCTCCCGCCAGTCCGAGCTCCCATCCCTTAAGGTAACCCTTTAAGCGATCTCATAAGTAGGACCTCAAATTAGAGAGCAGAGCCAGAGATGTTAAGGGTATGGAACTTGCGCAAGATCTCTGAAGGCGATATAGTGTCGAACACTTTGAAATCAAATAACAGCAAGAGCTTCACCATCTTACTATCAATGGCCGTTCGAATGTTATCCATCAGTTTTATCAATCCTGTCTGAGTAATGTGATTCCGCCGAAAGCCAGCCTGAAAAGGGATCAAAAAGATTTTCTTTATTTAGATACTCCATGATATGCTCATGGGCAAGTCTCTAGTCCCTAGGGTTCCTAGATTCTAGGGAAAAATCTGTCCTGAAACATAGATTTGATGTCCATCACCGTAATGTAATTCAGTTTCAAGTTTTTGTCATGTATAGCGATAATTGTTCCTCTTTTATCTTTCTTTGGCAGTTCAATTTCTTCTTTGATTCGGTTTTGTCTGACCATTGCAGTCGTTAATAATCACAATTTTTTAAATGCATCATGAGATTTGGATTCATAAAAATGTTGTAAAAATATAATATTTACTTAGCTTTTCTTTTTCAGTTTGTTCTATTGAATGGAATAACATTTTCATAACTACTCTACAGCATAAATAAATTGAAGCTAGAGGATTCCTTTCGTCAACTTTTGGTTTATCTGCTTAGATGTCGAGATCATAGATATATCCATCTGAGGAACAAAGTGCCTACAACTTGATACTAAACCTGGGTGGTTTGTTCCTGATACATTGTTTTATAGAAAATTTCCTAAAGTATTTCACCATTATTTCATTGATAGATAAATAATAATCAATGAAGCCGAACTGCATGCAATTTTCACGAACATAATTATACAATTGTCTATCGTCCAAATCTTATTATTTTCATCGCCATCTTGTAACTTATAAAATCTAATAAATTTTTTTATTTGAACAAATTCATTCCTTGTCATAAGTTCCGAAATGACCAGACGTTGTAAAATTATTTTCGTTGATAAATAATCACGGAAATTTTTGTAGAGCTAACAATAGTAATTATTAGAATGACAATCAATTTTTCTAAATCATCTATGCTCAAATCATAATTGTTTTTAGCTGTGGCTTCGATGATATAATTTTTCATCGACCTCGAAAAATACATCTTAAATAACTTCAAATAACTCTTAGAAACTAAAGAGGAAATTGGTTGATTCGAAATATCATTGACAGCATTATCTTTCCAATCATAAATATGGTTTGACTTCAATAATATTTGCGTACTAATTGTATGTATTTTGGACATGTTCATATGAACCTGTAGAAATCAGTCATGATGATATATTTTCATACTCATTATAATTAAAATATCCATCTAAATTTCTGACTCTATATCTAACCATTATTTTCTGCTTTATATATACAAAATTTCACATAGCATCTAAACGACAATAAAAACTTGAGCTCGTAGATCAAACAATCTACTTGTAACTTAGACCATAAATATGATTCAAAGTCCAAAGTTTTGCAGCTTCAAATATTCACAAAGTACAGTACAAACTTTTCATAAAAAGATCAAATTTTATTTGTGTTGCATCCAACCACTACTCCGCCATTTAAATGTTCTTTACTGCCACTCCAACATGGTTTACAAATTTTTATAAAGGAAAAGTTTCATCAAATAACCACCAAATTCTAGTATTCGTCAGGATTGACCTGCAAAATCGAAGTTTCGTGAATTCAAAATTTTATTGCCGATTTACGCTAATAAATTAAGGATTATAGGAAAATGTTATATAGGTTTTCGTCATAACTTTTCTCGCAGAATAGATTGGCGCAATCAGTTTTTAAAAACAATGACTTTTTTGCAATTTGTACAAATAATTTTTTATAAGCAATTGCAAATGACAAAAGAAAAAATGATTACTTTTTCTTTTCAATATACCCCGTTTCCATAAGTTAGTTTCATGCTATCTTACTTAGTTTTGGCATAGGCTTTAATGACTTAAATCAAGGTTAAAAAAATCCAAACTTTTGTTGTTCGATTTTTATAAATGAAAAATGTAATTTTCAATCTATTGATTTTCTGTATATTTAAAAAAGTATGTTTGTAATACCTTTGACAATGGTGTACAATTTTTTATCTGTAATCATTTTTTACAATCATATGGTACAAGTGATTGGATAGGTAGTATATGTTTTTTCAATAAAAAAAAAGCATTAGACTCTAATACGTAAGTACTCCAGTAAATATTGTTGATCAAAATGTCTAAATGATCTGAACTCTTATGCGGCCCAGTGCTAGAGTCTTCAACAAAGTTTACTCAATAAAATAAACTTTAATTTTACGAATATATATTTGAACAACCGTAACACGAAATTTCTCTTACATACAATTCGCTATTTCCTCAAGCAAGCGTTTCGATTCAAGTTGCATGAGCTTGAGCAACAGTAGGAAAAAGAAGATCCATGTCTTCAATTCAATCGTATTCTCTATCGAGAACTTGGTGATACCGATGTAATTGAGGAACTCCATCACTTTAAAAGAAATAAATCTCTTTCATGCCGTGAGAAAGTTTAAGATACTTCATACTTTGAGTAATCACCAGTAAATGAAGGGGGTCTCTAAAGTATGTACTGTCAATAATCCCTGATCAAACTATTATGCTTCAACGTATCTCGAGTCAAGAAATCCGAAGGTTTTAAAGTAGGTATTTAGAATTTTATTTCGGGAATATTATATTATTATTATTTGTAACGGGGGAGGTTATCTGAAAAATGGGAAATTTATTTAAGAACAAACTCCCATGATGCAGAGCAAACCGCCGCTCCGTTAAACACGTATGATAGTACGTGGATTCGCCTCAACGTCAGATGATTTATCTTAGTTGTCTTCTATCAAACGGAGTTGAACTCACCTTAAGTCACGCGAATAGGATTTTACAATTAACTATGTTCGGTGAGAAAGAGAGAGAGAGAAGATTCGAATTCTATCGCGAACTATCGCTCGACGCGAACACAAAAAAATAACGCTAACACGATTAGACAAAATACCGAATGTATTTTGTATCGCATATAATGACGGAAGGTGCACCTACCATGCGGTGCAATTACGGTGATCAGCCGTAATTGTTGATGCAAAATTATCAGCTGCGCTGCCTCGATCTGCCTTTATCTGCTGCAATCTACTGCTTTTGCACCGCTGCTTGCTGCTGCAATACTGTCGTTGCACACACGCACGTAATTGTCCCAAGGAAACTTTATTTTAGCGAAACTAAGTGAGAAAAACAAATCGGCGGTAAACTCGCGTGAGCAGCTGAGGCGTAACTGCTTACTCAAAAGATCGCGCGCCCCCTTTCTCTCTTAATTGTTAGAACTAACGCGCAAGAAGCAGAATCGCGAACGGATCGATTAATTAAATCGACTACCGTTGTATATTGTTATTATTATTAATATTTTAATAAATTATTGTTTTAATGATTTTGTTATATAGAAAATTTCATATAACGGTGTATTAATAATTTTTTTACAGGAAATTCAAAGAATATTTGGCATTGATGGTAGTTGGGTAGATAGTCCACCTGAAAAACCAGTTTTTTCACAAAATGGAACCAGCTACATAACTATAGCACCTATAAAGGATGATTCCGCAGACTATTACAAACACATTCTATGGGTTGATGTTTTGAAAAAACAAATAATCCCTGTCACCCATGGGAAATTCGAGGTCACTAAAATTCTTGCATGGGACCAAATTAACGATACAATGTAAATTATTGAGTTTATCAGTAATATTTTTATAATATGGAATAATATAATCCGAAATAATCAAATAAGTTACAGGACTCACCTTGACTAAGTATACAAATTATAAGCTTTCTTATATAATGGGTGAAGACACAATTGCTTAAATTTTTTATTTGTTACCGTTAATAGGTATAAATTTTGTCCCACGGTGCGAGACTGTCGGCCGTCTTGGTCCACTCCTACGGTGAACTTAATCCACGCACAAGAGTGTTGACAAGGCTAAAAACGAAAGCGATGTCGCGAATCCAACCGGGAGGCGGACGAAAACAATTACCATGTTCTATACGAGGGTGGATCCATTATTAGTAGGGTTATGAAATAAAATATTATTGCGGTCGGTTTATTTAATCGATATTAATGATATTTTAGATCGTTTATAAGCTGAAAAAGATGTATCCTTCTTGGTACAAGCAAACGAAAGTAATAAGGAGCCATGTCACTAATTTTTTTTAAGGGGAATATGCAAGAGGCTCGTTTGTTCCATTGCAATGGTGATGATGGGCCTCGTTACGAAGTTGGTGAGCTGGGTGTTAGCTCGAGAGAAAAGGAATGACGAGCGCACATAGAAATTACTCTCAATAACCTTCAATTATCTTTATTAACAGTTAATATCTACAGAGAGAGAGAGAAAGAAACGACGCGAATTCACGCGTCGCTCTCTGTGGCCACGTGCCTTCGCCCGTGCAGAAGAATGCTGGGGGCACGGTACAAATATAAGTTTGAGAAACACCGAAAGGAGGACTTCGTCGTTATCGCGATGCACGCGGATGATCGCGATCACTTCGCCGACGTGTCGTACACTTGCGAACGAAAGGGGAAAGAGAAAGAGAGAGAGAGAGAGAGAGAGAGAGAGAGAGAGAGAGAGAAAGAGAGAGGACCTAATCTGAGAAAGGCTGCTGACTAAAACTCATGTTAAGGCGGCTGGCAGGTCGACGCAGACTGGACTGAAGTCTCCGTGATGCCCTCGGTTACAATCTGATTTTCTCGTCGCCACTCTATGCTCAACGTTGTCTCGGTTCCTTGCTACTCTCCAATGGTTGATTTAGGAATTCTATCACTTTCTATTTTAGCGCGTGCGCTCTCGATCGTCACGGTCGATACTCTGCCGATCGAATGCTCGAACTCTTTCTCCTCATCGCGCGCGTGCCGGCGTGAGCAACGTTGGTGGCTTCACTCTTGCGAGCGAATTGCCGAGGAGCGCTCGTGCTCGTTTTCTCATCTTACGCGACGTATTTATTCTCCTCACTTTTTTCGCCGATGCCGCTTTTGCTTCCAATTTTTTCCCAGTAACGATGCTGGCCACAGGTATTAGTCCTGAAATAAAGCGTTGCGAGCATCGGTAATGGTTCTTGACTTCCATTACGTTTGTCATGGCCACAGCAAAGAAGCGAATCGCGGGAGAGAGAGCGATCCAGACAGGGCTAGCTATTTCGGCTAGGGTCTCATCAAACAATGATAATAATTTCAACATATTTTCGTAAAACTTTTAATTATTAGCAATATTTATAAAAATTTTATCACAAAGTAAACGAAAATGTTATTGTCACTGCAAATTATTAAAAATTTATGATCTATTTTCTTTTTAAGAATGCTATAGAAATGTAAGCACAATTTACAAATTTTTAAAGATAGAAAAAGATTATCTAAATGAAATATAAGACTATCATACATTTTACAAAGAAGATGATTTTACGAATGTAAGAATCGATTCATCAAAGAATGGAAAACCTACCAGGAATTTTCTTTTAGCTATATTTTAATAAGTGTGAAGATTTCTGAATTTCCTACATGAATAGACATTTTTCTATGGCCGTGAAGCTTTCTGTTTTGAAATATATCGAGTGTTTTTAAAAAAATGGTTTATGTGTTCGTATGTATGTGAATGTGTCTTCAAATATTTAAAAATCCGTAGCAAACTATTTTTTGACATTGTTGAAACAGGTAAACCTATGCTGTTTTGTGTTAGATTGTTATACAAAGAGTCAACGGAACAATTTAAGACCTCCAAGATAAATCACAGGAATATGTCCAGCAGCTTCCACCGTCTAAACACATAGCCCTACAAACTGAAAGCCCTTTCTCTTAACAGAAGAATTATTCATAAATTCATATTTTTTAACCTATTTTTCATCTGATGTACTTTGATATAATTGGTTTGATTGCGGTTTTATTGATTTTCTATCTGATTTAGTTTTTCGGATAGTCACACTTGTATGTGTTGATAACAAGGAGTTTAATCGGAAGATAGCGGGGAGAAAAAAGGAAAGTGGAAGGTCACTGCCGATTGCGGTCAAGCGTGGCACAGTAGAATTTCGACACCTTAGCCTAGAAAAGTGCACCAGCCTAATTTTCACGAGTACGCTAGCCCACCTTAGCGAGTAACAGCTAAAAGACCGGAGGCAAGACAATGGGAGAGAGCGATCACCAAAGTTCGTCGCCATTACGTCGACAAGATGGAAGCTGATTTTCCATCAACCCGAGTGGCAACCACTCGCACGGCGCAGCCAGGTTTTCTCGACGTTTGTGGCCTACAGTAATTAAGGTCAAGGACACTTTTCTATTTTCTCTCTCTCTAAGGCGGCATAGCCATGATGCAAGAATTAGGAAAGTGGCAAGGCGTTCGTGCGCCGGTCACTTTCTGGTAATCACACGGCCAGCGCAGTAAGATTAAGTTTGCGAATCGTCAAGACAATGACTCACCGGGCGATTACGTTTAGCGTGATTTAAGTTAAGTCGGCGTATCGCCAAGGCGGTCTCTCGCTGAGCGATACCGTTTCTAATATCGTTTTTTATAGTTTGAGCGCGGATTGACCAAGTGTCATTTTCTCATATAAGCATTGATTATTGTGAGTGCGGATTTTCGTCTGTTTGTTAGAATTAAGGTTTTGTGTACAAGTAGTTATAATTAAAGTATTTAGTTTGGTTTCTTAAACGCGACTTTATCTCATTTCATGACCCTTACTTTTCCCTCCCCGATTGTTATAAGCGAGTGCGCCTCACTTGCCCACCTTTGAAGAATTGGTAACGTGAAAGATCGTTACATGGCATGCCTTGTGGGCTTAGTAATCGAGGTAATGGGAACGGCAACGGTCGAATAATAGATTGGATATTGTTTCTTTGTTCTTTTCGATTAATGGATAAATAATTAAGTAAATTTTCTTTGTGAACTAACATAAGGGCGAAGCTCGCGCATAAAGAAAAAATTTTAATTTTCGGTGTTTATTTTCCTATGAGTGTTTTACCTCGAATTGTCAGTGGCATTTTCTCAGTGGATCAGTCGAATGACCGCGTATATGTCACTTGGTCGCTTTGACACCGGACCCAAAATAACTCATTAGAATTGGGTATATCTCAATTTTCTTTCTTAGATTTAAGCAAGGCCATTTTTCGCTGGCTCAAAGCCTGAAAAAGAATTTGAGATAAAAATTTCGGTAGTGTCGGGTTACGTAATACACGATCGAAGCACGTTTGCCTCGGCAACTGGAAATTCGGTTGGAAAATGTCGCTAGCCTGTAAAGACAGGATTATCATTTAGAAGAGCTGAGAGATCGATATTTGCGGTTTTTGTTAAGGAAAAAGCAATTAGATTTACAACCGCCAAAATATCCGAGTTATTTTAACGCTCGGTCGGATCCCGGATTTGCTGCATGATGACCCGCGAGAAGCAGCAGAGGACAACGCGCGATGCGCAAAGTTTGGCGACGACCCCGCAATGGCCGCTATGCCCTCAATGGCTAAATTGCCGCAGAATAAGAGCAGGCAAAGCAGGTATCAAGCGTCGCCGCTCCACGCAGGCAAGCTTAGTCGCCGAACAGAAACGTGACTACAATCGTAAACAAAAACGCGCTACCGTCGGCGGTACAGCCACCGTCGGCAGCTCGGTTGCCGTTGGACAGCGCAAACGTACGCGTGCGTGAGCAGGAATGCCGAGACCAGGATGAAAGCAGCACTGGAGCGCTAATCAGATCTGGGGGGCACTTACTGCTGTACCACGTTGATCTTATAGGTGCTAGATTAGACAGGGTATCACGGATGGGGCGAATGCAGTTTTTAGGATAGAGAGTGAGGTGGAGCACAGTAAAGCGGCCCAAGCCGAGCAGCAGGCTTCATCGCCGCCTAAGGCTAAGCCACTTGGCAACCGCGCGGTATGAAACGTATCAGAGGTAGCAACTAAGCCACCGGCTCACACGAGCGCACGAAACAATAGAGCAGGTAGTGTGTCCATCTACGCCGATTCAGATAGATCAGTGAGCATGAAGTACCACGCGCCTAGGGTAAGTTCTTGAGTAGAAGATTTGGAGCGTGGGGTACGGACAGCCACTGTGAATGAAGCGTGGATACCAGTCTCGTTAGGTAAAGGCTCGGTAATTAGCAAAGGTAGCGTAATTAGCCTAAAGTGGCCTAAGCAGAGACAAGCGGGAAAAATAGAGACTTTCGGGGTATACGATACGAGCACGTGCCCGTCGGATATTAATAGTCACGATACGTGGACAGAAAAATCACTCAGAAAAAAGGTAGAGAGACCGAGCAGAGAGAGCGGCCCTCCGTGAATAAAGTATATCAATGGTATACCTGCGGACGGGGTAAGCGCACTCAATGCTTGGTCTCTTCGCTTTTCGGGTAAAGATCATAGAAGGTCTACATCCAAGATATAAGCGATATTTTAAAACTAAGATACGAGGGTCGTTTAAAAAGTCCCTGTAAAAATAAAAACTGCTTGATTTTTTTAATAAATCTTTTTTATTTATCAACATAGTCTCTCTTTAGGCTTATACACTTCGTCCAACGCTGCTCTAGTTTGTTAATCCCTTCCAAATAATAGGATTTGTCCAAGTCTGTAAAATAGGCATTCGTTTCTGCAATCACCTCCTCGTTTGAATAAAATCTTTTCCCCGCCAGCCATTTTTTCATATTAGGGATCATATAGTAGTCCGACGGAGCCAAGTCTGGAGAATAGGGGG